TGGGTTTTTCGGATGAAGACGGAGATGGCGTTTCTGGAGATGGTGAGTGTTGGTCGACGGGGAAGACGGTGTTGTGAGAGTTGTGGAATGGTTTAAGTGGGGAAGATGGATTTCGATTTTTTTCCGCGATGGTTTATTTGCGTTCGAAGTTCTGAAAACGGGTTGAACAACTTGAGTGTTGTTTGAGGGAATCTGAGTTTGTTCCTCAAAGTAAATTTCGGTTTTCTGGGTATGTGAAAGCCGAAAGTTGTTGGTGAATTTGTGAGGATGAAGGTGTTAACAGAAGTTGGTGTTTGAATCAGAGGATGAATTTGAAGTTTTTGTTGGAGGTGCTTCCATGGAGTTGTGTACGAGTTTCTGTTCAAGTTTGAAATGAGAATGGTATTGAGAACTGGATTTCGAAGGTTGATGGCTGGAGGCTGCTGAGAGCGGCTAGGGTTGTGTCTCATGGATTAGGGTTTGGGGCTGAATTTTTTTAGGGTTGTGTCCTCAGATTTTGGGAGATGGTGAATAGTGTAATATATATATCCGGAAATTGACACGTGTCCTGCTTCTTTTTATTTTTTAAATATTTCTGTACTATAATTATGTTCCTAATTAAATGATTAATAAAAATAACTTTAAAACTAATAAAGACTAATCTAATTCTTAATCTAACTAAACAATAATTAATTAATTCTATCCTAATTGAAATTAATTTAAAATCCTATTTTAATAAAAAAAAACTAATTTATATTAAAATTAACTAATTAAGAAAACTAATCCTATTTTAATTAAGTTTTAATTTAAAAATTCTAACCTATAAAGTTTTAATCTCTATTCTAAAAAAACTATTATTAATTTCTATTAAAAATTCTAAACTATTTCTAATAAAATAAAAAGTCTATTATAGAATAAATATTACAATTCTAAAAAAAACTATTTAATAATCTATTAAAAACTCAATAAAAATTTAACAAACTATTTTCTAAAAGACAATATTATTCTACTCTAAATAAGATAACTATTAAATAAAAGAAAATACAGTCTAAAATATTAAAATTTAACTAAACCAAATTTGACTATTAATAATGAAATAAATAATTCCTAATTTAATAATACTAATAATTACCATAAATCCTAATTAAACTAATAATGATATTTACACTAAAAATAATATTCTAATGAGCTAATCTAAATAAATAAATAAATGAAAATAATTTTTAAAAGAAAATCCTAATATAATAATAATAATAAAAACTAATAATAAATAATCCTAATAAAATTAATGCTAATCTAATAACAAATAAATAAATAAGCTAAAAACTATAAATAACTCTAATTAATTCTATAAAACTTAATAAAATCCACACAAAACAAAATTCTATATTAAAACAAAATAAAACTCTATTTAGCTCCTAATAATAAAAATACATTAAAAATTATATTTAACCTAAAAGCTATTTCTAAACTATATAATTAAATCTATTTTTAAAAAAAAAAAATTAATAAAATTAAAAACTATTAAAACTCTAGAATAAAAAATCAAAATCTAAAAACTATTTAAATCCTAAAATATCTCTAACATTACTAACTTAATTCTAAAATCCTAAAATATCTCTAACATTAAATCAAATCTAATTAATTCTAAAATCCTAAAATATCTCTAACATTAAATCAAATCTAATTAATTCTAAAATCCTAAAATATCTCTAACATTACTAACTTAATTCTAAAATCCTAAAATATCTCTAAAATTAAATTAAATCTAATTAATTCTAAAATCCTAAAATATCTCTAACATTACTAACTTAATTCTAAAATCCTAAAATATCTCTAAAATTAAATTAAATCTAATTAATTCTAATATTAAAATAATTCTAAAACAAATTAAATCTATGCTATAAAAATAATCTATTTCTATTCTAAATAAATAAAAAACTATTTCTAATAAAAATTCTAACTAAATTAAAAAAAAAAACTATTTAAAAACTATTAAAATAAAATCTATTCTAAAGAAAGAAAGAAATAACTATTCTAAATAATTAAATAAAGCAAAAATAATAAATAAATGCAAAATGCAATGGAAAAACGGGCGAGCACCGAAATGCGCCTATATTATCGACATGGATTGAATTATCACGAGGAAAACGACTTTCGCTCGATTTTGACACTGAACTTCTCGTTCGAATTATTTGAATTGCCTGAAACGCGAGCAAAACGGCTAAAATCCTGATAAATTCAATCCGGCCGATAACACGGGCAAAATGAAACCCAAATGATATGCAGATAAAAACGAAGCAAAAGCCAGTCAAAGCTAGAAAATGGGTGGGCAAATTTTAGGGTGCAACAGGAAACACGAGACATCGTTTACTGTGATAGACATCTCACCATGCAGGAGATGAAACAAAGAGGTCTTTGAGTGTCATCTCTTCACGGATATTTTAAGCATCTCATGGTTGACCAAAGTGTAACCTGTCATGCATAGGTTCTTCAGGCCAGATAAGGACAGAACCGTCTAAAATTAATCATCACTCGGCTGAGGCAATGCAACAATCTTCCTCCCATGGTTAAGAAACTTTCGGGGATCGCGCTCGTAAAATTTGTTAGAAATAATCAATGTCAGGAATAATCATTGTCATAAATTATCAATGTCAGCAATTAAAATGAACGCATAAAAAAATAAAGAATCCAACTAATGATAACTCTTTGTCCCATATATGTCTGGCTCTATGGTTTAGTCATAAAGGAAGTAAGGACAAATCAACCGGACCTCCTCCAAAAGCCTCTGACCCGCATCTGTAACAGGCTCTTCCTCTGGTGGTGACACTAGATCAACATCATCATCAGTGGAAGGTGGGACTCGATCAACAACATCATCCGTAGGAGGTGGCACTGGTGAATCCTGCCGCGGTGGCACGGGCGAATCCTGACGCCTGCAGGAGGAAGAGGAAAGTGATGCGTGAGATGGTGAATCCTGTCTCCTACGGGAAGAAGAAGGTGGAGTGACCTAAGGTGAAGCACGAGCCCCAGAAGTAGACAGCTCTGTCCGACCAGAGGTACGTGGAGCATCTGAAACTTGCTGGCTCCACTTCCACTGAACGGATGTGTGCTAATCAACCCTATCATGCCTCAGTCTGTCAAGTTCGTCAGCCATTATGCATGTAAGTTAAAGTATGGTATACCATTAGTGCACACAAACAACCCACACAAGGAAGAGAAAAAACATACTATAGAAAATTTTGGAGATGTATCTCCGGAAGCACAAGGAAACTAAAACGCTGAAACATTTCGGAGATGCATCTCCAGAAGCACCAGGAAACTAAAACGTTGAAAAAGTTCGGAGATGCATCTCCGAAATTTCCTGCAGTATATGAAACGATGAACAATTCCGGAGATGCATCTCTGAAATGTTCTGCAACTCAGAAGTTGCATCAATAGCGAATGTACCACATGCAAGTTGGAAAAAATATGTTTTGATCACCATTTTCAGCCAATAAACAAGTTATGCCCCATGTCTAAACTATGTTACATGTGATTTTACACATTTCTAACCCTAATCAATAATTTCTACTCATTTACACTAAAACTCAAACATTTATCGAAAACTCGAAAAACTTACTTGAAATTGATGATTTTGATGAAGTTGAATGATGTTATAGATGAAACTTGATATTCCTTTGAGTTCCCTTGAGCCTTGTTTGATGAAATTTGATTTGGTGTAGGGTAGTTTATTGAGAGTGTTTGAAGTTGTGGTTGAAGAAAATTGTGAAATGAGAAAGAAGAAGAGTATGATGCGACTTATGCTTTAAAATGTTCCGGAGATGTATCTCCGAAATATTTCAACGTTCACTTACATTTTGGTGCATTCGAGAAATAGGAGAATTTGTGAAATTTTATATGGTACGGTAGAAATACATAGAGTGCCACAAGAAATTCTCTTTCAATATTATAGTTTAAATTTATAAATAAAAATGTAATGGACAAATACTACCTAACACAAGCAAGAGTAATCATAAACTTATTTATGTTATGCTTAAAATATGCATCAAATCATATATATATATATATATATATATATATATATATATATATATATATATATATATATATATATATATATATATATATATATATATATATATATATATATATATATATATATATATATATATATATATATATATATATATATATATATATATATATATATATATATATATATATATATATATATATATATATATATATATATATATATATATATATATATATGATTTGATGCATATTTTAAGCATAACATATATATATATATATATATATATATATATATATATATATATATATATATATATATATATATATATATATATATATATATATATATATATATATATATATATATATATATATATATATATATATATATATATATATATATATATATATATATATATATATATATATATATATACCACAAAAACATCTATAGAAAAGTAAAGAGTAATTGAATATTATCTTCAATACTTATCAAGTTTTCTATTCATCTCACAAACATTTCTTTGATCACATCATGTTAAAAACATATCTTCATCCTCTTTAACTTTTCTTTTTCACTTGAAAAAACACTTATACAATCATATTTTAACTCAATCTTTTTTTCAAAATTTACTAAAATTATTTTAAATTTTATTTTTAATGGGCCATCCCGTAGCCCGCTTGGCCGGTCCAGTCCAACACATAAAAAACATAGGCCCAATAGATTGGATCAAAGATAATGAACACTTTAATACTGGTTTAATTATTGCTTCAAAACACAGAAATAATGGTATTTTATTCTCATTTTTAGTTAAAGTGTTTTTGCTTCATGAAGGAACTAGGATGTAAGAAACTTGCACTAATTCTGAATTCATAGAAAATAACTTCCACTGAAGGTGCTTTAAGCATTCAAATTATACTAGTTTGAGCTTCACAAGAATAAATACATTGGTTCTATATAAAAATAAAATAGTTGAAAAACTTCAAAGTCTATAACCATGCAAATACTTAGCCCATCTTCTAGCCATATAAGGATCATGAAAGTCCCAGCATTCAACACTACTATTCCTACCACCTGTGTTTGCAGTGTTCATATATCTTTCACTCTCATTCTCTTCACCATCTTCATCTTCTTCACCTTTATGTTCATCTCCAACACCTACAACACTTTCTCCTGTTCTTCTAACACACTCATCAATTTCACCTTCAATGTAGCTATATTCTACATACACATGACTACAATCACCTAAGTCTAATACAATTCTTCTTTCTTCTCCACCTCTTATCTCTCCGATTCTTATCACTCGTCCATTTCCGCCTTCCTCGCCGGCTCCGCATATTCTTAGTTGGATTTCCCTAACAATGCCTCCTAACATTTTGGCTAAGAACTCCTCAAACTCTTGCATGACAAATCCACTTGAAGTGCCGAAGCCGAATCCTACATGAAATCGATGAATTGGTGTGGATGGAAGTTCCATGCTGATAGCGTGGTATGGTCTTGTAGGGTTATCGGATAGGTGGAGGATACAGGACTCGGGGTTCTTGTGTAATCGGTCTTCGAGTATCTTAATTCCTTTCTTCAACCCTTCGACTGGATCAGCTTGGCCCATGTAAAATAAACGGTCGATAACTTGAAGGGCTGTGCGTTTTCCGTAGGTTGTCATGCGTCTTAAGGGGAAGACGCGAGCTGCGGCTGAGGAGTATGTGACGATGGCTAGTCGGTCGATGTGTCTGAGGGAGAAAACCACAAGAGCCATTGCTTGTTTGAGAAGCCTTAGGTGTGGTCCATTGGGACTAGCAACTAAGACCAAGTCGGTTGCTCGTTCGTGGGCTAGTTTTACCGAAAGATAAGCTCTATTAGACGAGGGACAGGTGATATAAGGCGTTTGCATAGGTGAAGAATGTAACATCGATGAGGAGCTGCAAGGACATGAGGCATGGTTGCTCACTTGCAAAGCAGGATGGAAACTAGTTGCTGCATTTGGTGGAATAGGTTCTAGAGAGAAACACAATTTGGGAGTGTTAGGTGATTCATTAGGCTCAACAGGATCATCGTCATCATAGCGAGCTGTACGCAGGACAGAACGGCGATGAACACGGAAGGTGGCAATAGAATCATCAAGTATTCGCAGAATAGGATCACTTTGGTTACTAGAAGCAAAAGAACCAGAAAGAGTGTTGTTAAGGTTGCGAGGAAGCTGTGTCCAATGAGCGCGGCAAATAGGGCAAGTGACACTACCGTGACGAACATTGGAAGAGATGCAGGCAAAATGGAATGCATGAGAACATTGAGCAGTGAATATAGCTTGGCCCGGACTGCTTCCCTTGCTGTGGTAACTCAGAGGATCTAAGCATATAGCACACAAACCCTGCAAAGTTACACAAAGTGACGAGTCAAGTGAACCATCAATGAATGAGAATTCAAGTGCATATTACCGAGAAAAACCACTACTGTAAAGTGATTAACACTGCAATTTGATTATGGAAAAAATGAATCAATAAATTGAATGTTATGCTATTAGCAAACTAACCATACAAAAAAAGAAAAAGATAACTACCGTATTCAATTTTCAAAATATATATTGGAACAAAAAACTTATAGTAGAAGAAGTAGTTTTGAATGAAAAGAAAAATGGCATGCAGACAAAGTTTGGCTAATCTCGGATGAAGATGAGGACAAATGCTTAGTTGTCAATTCCTTCATTAGTAGATATAAGTACTAGTACAAGCCGTGGTCAAGGCTTGTGATTTTTCTAGCAACATCCAAACAGAAATTAATGATTTAGGTCATGATTGGATAAATAGTTTAATTAAGCACTTATAACATAAGTGCTTATCGTAGAGCTTATGAATGAGTCATTTCTATAACAAAAGAAAATAAAATAAAACTATTTTCCTACAAATTATAAATTCTAAAGAGTTTATGGAAATAAGTTGAAAACAACTTAAAAATATGTCTCAGTTATTATCATAAGCTCTCCCAATTAGTTTAACAAGTGCTTATGTCAATAGATATGCTCAAACAAGTCAATCCAAACACACCTTTAATCAATCTTATCTCACTCTTTATGGACATCAATAAATGAGATTCCAATTCAACACTAAAGTGACAAAAGATTGAGTGCATCACAAAAGCTCACTCCCTTCATTAGGAAGCTATTGGCATGTAGATAACTCTTTAATTTTTCCAGAAAGGTTAACACAACAATAGAAGAAAAAGCATGAGCATGCATGTTTTTGCAGATGAAACTTCCTAATGTAGGGTCTGCATCAATAATGAATTGATTCCTGGCTTCACTTATGCGCCATGTGCTAAGATATTCACATGTTAGCATCCTCTATTCACTACTTTTCTATTCTAAACAAAGTTCAGTGCCAAAATAATTGCTTTAACAATGGTTCAAAAGAAAAAAATTAAGCATCACATTAAAAAAGTTCAAGTAAAAAAGCAAACCGCTCCATAAGGCTAATCATTATGGTCCATTGGATTCTAAAGTATTTTCTTAAGTGTTTGAAAAAATTCAAGAGATACTTTAAACAGGGAAATTGTCTTTAATCCTGAACTTGTGAATTTGTTGATAACATTTATACACATCAAGTTGCATTTGTAGAATGTTAATAATCAAGGTGGTTTAGATTTTAAGGAGCTACAAGTCAATTACCTTACTATGAAGCTCATTGTTGTTGATGTTTGTTGTTATAGTTGAATCAGTTTCTTCAACTATCTCTCCTGAGCAACATTTTGTTGTAGATGGAGATACAAATGAGGAATTTGAGATCTGCAAACATGTTAAAAACCTAAGTAAATGTCAAATTCTCTTGTCACAAATCTTTATATATCACAAGTTAAAACTTAAGACAAAAAACGCACACAATTAGAAAGTAACTTAATCAGAAAAACTGGAAAAAAAAAAGTTATAATGACAGTGCTAATAATAAACACAAAATTCATAAGTAACCCTCTAACAACTATCATCGCCAAAACAAAAATACTAAAAAAAAGTTAAATTTTGAACATAATGAATTAACAAACATAACTAGGAAGGAACATCATCAATTCCATAATTTCACATTTTTATGGAAACCCAATTTGGAAAAACTGAAGTTCATTCTAAAATGCTGGTAAAGCTTGCAACTTTATCCAAAATGGTAAAAACCCAAGAAGTAAAAAATGCATTTTGGTAGAAGAAGAGGGAAATTGGAAGTGTGTACATACAGTAGCAGATAAAGCACAAGAAGTGTCAATGGAAACTGGATCCACCAATGATTTTCTTCTGGAGAATGAACCACATGCATAGACTGCAGCAACTGCAACTTTTCTTGCTACTTCTCTTAGCTTTGATGTTCCTCTTCTTCCTCCTCCTTCCCTCATTGTCTCTCTGTGACCCTTTGAGACTGAAAATGAGAGGGTTTTGTGGTTGTTGTTTGTGTGTGTGTGAGAGAGAGAGAGAGGAGACAAAGGGTCTGCAGAAATCAGCAACGGGCAGGTTGTGTTACTTTTTAAAGTGACTATTATTGTTGTTGTTGTGTTATTTTCTTTATTCGTCAATATTATCATACACGCTTATATATAAGTCAGGTACATTTTACATTCGTATGCTTTCAAACCACTGCCACAAATGTGGTCTTGTTCACATTTACCAATAGAATGTTACTTTGGAGTGGAGAGTTACTTTACTTTTTACCCTCTTGTATTCATATATATAAACTAGCCAATTGGGTAGGAGAAAGTGATTTTTTTTACATGAAAATTTTGTCTCTGATATTGATGTGATGAATGAGTAAGTATACTTTAAGAATTTTAAGTGATGAAGAGATTAAAAACATATTTAAAAGATTGTTAGAAATTAGAAAAATAAAAATATCGACGGAAGATGTCGAAGTCACGGTGGAGGAGAATAGATAGTCGACTAGAAGTTGGCGGGCGGTGCAGGCCAATAGAGGAGCTAAGGAATTCGATGGAGGTCTAGTTATCCAACAGTGGAACCCACCACAACTCTAATGGCGACAATAGGTCGGCCCCGACATGGTAGTTCATGCTTGTTGAGCATCAAGTATGATTTAGTTGGTTCGCTTGTATCATGCTTGGTCATTCTGATTCATATATTCATTAATGAGTTATGCTTTTTATTATTATTTGACTTCTGATAAGGTAAGAAAGGAGATTATATCATCTCAAAGGTACAATTCAGGTGAAGCTGAGTGCTATACTTTGAATGCGGGTGAAGGATTGCAAAACTCATAAACAAAGACCTTTAGGGAGACATTGGAAAATATGGTTTTTTAGTTACCTAATCAGGAAAATTTTCTTGGAAACAAATGGATGCAAGTGTCTAGATCAAGGTTCAAGTGTGGCTTGAACTTGATCAAATGAGTTGAAGGATGATTCAAATTAGAGAGAACGACATGGTGGTTGATGATTGAATTGATATCACTACGATTTAAGGTCAAGGCAAATGATTGTAGAAGTATGTCATAAAATCTTTAGTGATGAAGTGAAAGAAAATATGTTTCAAGATTTCCAAATATAAGAAGTTCAAAATGTAGCAAGAGTGTCGACGAAAGACGTTAGAGTCTCAGGTATCCGACCGTCAGAAATGAAGGTATGTCATCTGAAGACGAATGTTTAGTCGTCTAGCAGATGTATGAACCTCCATAATGGGTCATGTGTGACAGGGTAGTTTGTGTCCATCGGGCATCAGGTATGATTTAGTTGATCCGCGTGTATCACACTTGGTCTTTTTGTTTCACGGATTTGTTCGTTAATAGATTGTCTTTTTGGCTCGCTGAGGATTTGTAGGGTTTCAAAAATTATAAATATATATATCTGTGAGATGTTGGATTGAACTCTAGTATGGTCAAAGGATAGCTTCTGGTTTGACAGGAATTAAGCATGAGGTCGAAGTCTGTTCGTATGTTGTTGTCGAAGATAATGCGTGTTGTAGTCGAAGTTTGTCCTAACATACATTAATCAATATTGCTAGGTTGTTAGCATATTAGATTGGGTCTTGCTTGTAAGCCCAAGTGTTTAAGTTAGCTTGTACCCTAAGTTAGCTTGTAATGGATAATTGTTAAAAATCCCATTAAGTTAGTGTGCTATTTTCTTATAAATAGGATGCTAGTTTCTCAATCTTGGCATAAGGAAAAATAGGAAGATAAAATCCTAATTTCAAGAGAGAGAAGTTATTTTGTTATTATTATATACTTGTAATATTGTTTGAAAGAGAAAAGAAAGAATAACAGTTTATAACCAATCCTTGTTGTTCATTGTTGTTTTACCTTATTTTCTTTGTTAACCCTAACCCTTGTGTGTTTCTTGATCATAAAGAAATCGTTTATACTTTATTTAAAGATATCTGATTCACAACAAATTGGTGCGGTGAGCGTGGAGAAGATGCCTTCAACAAAGTATGAGATTGAAAAGTTCACCGGAGTGAACGACTTTGGTCTGTGGCACTTGAAGATGAAAGCCCTACTGGTTCAGCAGGATTGTTTGGAAGCGTTGAAGGGTGAGGCAGTCATGGACGTTGTGTTAAAGTTAAAAGAAAAGACAGGTATGATCGAGAAAGCCCACAGCGCAACATTGTTGAGTGTTAGTGATAAGGTTCTTCGACAGGTATCAAAGAAGACTACAACATCGGGATTATGGGTGAAACTTGAAATTTTGTACATGACCAAATCTCTGGTGAATCGACTCAACCTGAAGCAAGCTTTGTATTAATTCAAGATGAGTGAAGACAAAGTGTTGGCTGATTAATTGGATATGTTCAACAAGCTGATTCTTGATCTTGAAAATATTGATGTGAAGATCGATGATAAAGACCAAACACTGTTGTTGTTGTATGTTTTGCCCAGAACACATGTTCACTTCAAAGAAAACTCTCTTGTACGGAAGGGAGTCCCTGACCTTTGAAGAATTTCAATCAGCCTTGTATTCTAAGGACTTGAACAAACGAAGGGAGCATAAACCTTCGACGGTGGCGAAGGTTTGGCCGTTAAGGGAAACTTCTTGCGAAAGGATGGTAAGTTCGACAAGAGAAAGGTAAAAGTCAACAGAAATCTTATAGTGGCAAAACATCTGGTATTCGATGTTATCACTGTAAGAAGGAGGGTCACACAAGAAAGGTGTTCCCTGAACGCCTGAAAGATCATGGAGGTAATGGTAATGCAGCCATTGTTTAAGATGACTTCAACTCATCTGATGTTCTTGTGGTTTCAAGTGGCGACTCGAGAAAAGAGTAGATTATGGATTCAGGTTGCATTTGGCACATGACTCCAAACAGAGAGAAACAACAAATCTTGCAAAATTGCAGGAATTGGATATGTGAGATTCAAGCTCCATGATAAGTTAATAAGGTTATTGATTGAAGTCAGGTATGTATCTGACTTGAAGAGAAATTTGATTTCTCTTGGTGAATTCGACAGAAAGGGATATGTTTTTCAAGGAGAGAAAAGTATCCTAAGATTCAAGAAAGGGTCGAAGGAAGTCTTGAGAGGCGTGAAGAAACAAGGCTTGTATACTCTTGAGGCTGAGGTTGTAAGTGGTTCGACAAATTTTGCATCCACGAAACCTGTGCCGAAGACAAAATTATGGCACATTAGATTGGGCCATGTCAGCGAAAGAGGCCTGGTCGAATTGGGGTAGCAGAACCTGCTAGGAGGTGACAAGGTCGAAAAGTTGGAGTTTTGTGAATCTTGTGTATTTGGTAAATCCTGTAGGGCGAAGTTTATCAAATGCAAGCTTAGAACACATGGACCCCTGGATTACATTCATGCTGATCTTTGGGGGTCTGCTAGGAATCTTTCATACTCAGGTGCAAGGTATTTCTTATCCATCGTTGATGACTATTCCAGAAAGCTATGGGTATTCATTCAGAAGACGAAGGGTGAAATTTTTGAGAATTTCAAAAGTTGGAAGATTCTGGTCAAAAATCAATCTGGCAGAAAGGTTAAGAGGTTGAGAACTGACAATGGCCTTGAATTCTGCAACGAAGTGTTCGACAATTACTGTGTTGAGTATGGGATTGCAAGGCATAAGACTGTATTAGGTACTCCTCAACAAAATGGCTTAGCTGAGAGATTCAATCGCACAATCCTTGAAAGGGTTAGATGCATGTTGGTTAGTGCTGGATTGAAGAAGGTGTTTTGGGCGGAAGCTGTTTCGACAACAGCTTACCTTATAAATAGACGTCCCTCAACTGCCTTGGGAATGGAGACACCTGAAGAAGTTTGGTCGGGACATCCACCTAGTCTTGACAGACTGAGAGTATTTGGCTGTGTGGCGTATGCTCATATTAGGAAAGACAAGGTCGAACCTAGAGCTTAGAAATGCATGTTCATGGGATACCCTGAAGTAGTCAAAGCTTATAGGCTATGGTGCCTAGAGTCTGGTCATAGGAGGTGTATCACCAGTCGAGATGTAGTTTTCAATGAAGCAGAGATGACTTTCAAGAAAACTGATAATGCTTAAGAGGTGGAACAGGGAGAGATTCCTATTGAGGTGAAGCATGTTGATGCTGAATTGCGTACCCCAGATGAAGTCGAAGAAGACGCAGAAGATGTTATCGAAGATGAGGAGACTGATAATGACTACCTGCTAGTAAGAGACAAGTCGAGGAAAGTCATCAAGCAACCTCAGAGACTTGGATATGTAGATCTTATAGCTTACGCCTTAATATCTGCAAGTGAGGTTCTAGACGAAGAACCTAGAGACTATAAGGAAGTTATGAGAAGTCGAAAGAAGACTGAATGACTGAAGGCCATGTGTAACGCCCCGATTTTGATTATTACCATTTTGTTGAGTCTTTTATTTAAATTGAGTGATAATCATTTTATTTGTGAAATTGGTGTGTTAATATGATATGTTGACATGTTATGATATTTTACCGTTTTTGAGAGTTTTCGGGGAAATTAGAATGGAGGGTATTTTGGACATTTCTCACTTAATGATAAGTTAGAAATTTAGTGGAAGTAGAATTATGTGAGAAATTTAGTAAAATTGGTAGAAAAGTGATTAAGTGTAGAATGATGTGAGAAAATGAATTAATTAAATTTGTTCAAAAAAAAAAGATAAGAAGAAGAAATAGGAGAGAAATAGAAAGAAAAGAGAAATAGAGAGAAAAAGGAGAGAAAGAAAGAGGAAGAAGAGAAAAGAGAAGAAAAAGAGGAAAAGCTTGGAAATCTTCAAAACAACTTCTAGGAATCGATTTAATCGGGTAAGGGTGTGAAATCTTATTATCTCATCAATGTATATCATTATGTATGGGTTTGCTTGGATGTTTTCTTGTTTTCCATAGCTTGAGTTCTAGGTTAAAATTGAGATTTTTGTGAGGAATCAATGTTTTTACAGACGAAAGTAGGAATAGATTGCGT